ATACAACAAGCTGAGGAGTCAGGGCATTGCCATAATCAGGTTGAAATCAAGTTATCATCTATGCATGTATAAATGGCCTTAACCTTCATTGCAGACAGAGATAACATACAGTCCATAATAACATAACATTTGCTTAATAATGATGTAACTAAATTATGTAGTTTGTCATCTTTTCAATCTAGGAAACCAATGTTTTAGGATTCAAAGGACCGCGCAAAATGAGTGTCATCATTCCTGGAATGAACATGGACCATGAGAGAGTGTCTATTCGCCCACGAAATGTATGTTTCACCCCTAATTTCTTAATAGCTTTATCTGTGCAGACCAATTCAACCTCTTCTAATACTTATATAATTGATCTGGGCTTCATGTCAGAAACTATACTACTCTGTCCTTCACTACAGGACCATGAGTCACTACTGGCCAGGTGGCAGAACAAGAACACAGAGAGTGTGATTGAACTTCACAACAAGACGCCTGTGTGGAACGATGACACACAATCCTATGTGCTCAACTTCCACGGCAGAGTCACTCAGGCCTCCGTCAAGAATTTCCAAATCATTCACGACAATGACCGTGAGTTCTATTCCTCTAAACCGTTAGAGGTTTAAAATTAACTACAATTACCAGAGTACATTTGACATGTTATAGTCATGTTGTCATGATTTAGAACAGCACTCCCTCTGTAAAATGTCCTTTTTGTTTTTTTCCCTTTCCTTATCAAAGGGTGGACCAATAACAAGAAGTGTAGCTAGTGAGAGAAAGTAATGGAGAAATAAATGTGTTTCCTGGTTCTTCTCCTCTGCAGCTGACTACATTGTGATGCAGTTTGGCCGTGTGGCAGAGGATGTCTTCACCATGGACTATAACTACCCAATGTGTGCCCTGCAAGCCTTTGCCATTGCACTCTCCAGCTTTGACAGCAAGTTAGCCTGTGAATAGATCCCAGCCTGATGTTCAGTGGAGAACTGGTCCATCTGTCCTCTCAACAAGGGCTGTTAATGTATCCTTGGGGCTGGTTTGACTTCTCCAAATCACACGAGACCTTGGAAGTCCTGCATATCCCAAAATGCTTTATGGGACTCAAGTTTTGTGTGTACGGGTGTGTGTGGGGCTGGGGTGGGGGGGGGGGGGCCTCGGGATGGTCTTGGTCAGTGGAGGAAAACAAGCACAAAGAGAAATCCACTTTCAAAATTCAATTAATTTGTTTTGATAACTATAGTAATTTTGTACTGTAATGGCATAATTAAAACAAACACTGTTCCTTTATGTAGTAGTCAGAGAAATTTAACATTTCTTTATCTGTAAATTATAACTAACAATTACACATCTGTATGTTTTAAAAGTTGACTGGATTTTATGTAATCTGTTACACAAAAATGTCCCAATCTATCTCAAGCATGAATACTGCTTATATAGTCACTGAATTTAAAAATAACATGCACGTCACTATATATTTATTTTGTTATTTATGTATTTATTACATGTCAATTTTTTTTCCTTCTGTTATCATTCGCAACAAATTCAGCAGTATTGGCTCCATGGAGCCGCAAGCACATAAGTTAGCATCACAAGGAGGAATATCTCGTTTCCACACAAAAACGACTGGACGTGAACAGGGCAAAGATATGTAACAGTGTGCTGTGTACCATATCAAATATTGTGTCACAGTGTAATTTATGTGAATGTATAGGACGATGGTGCACTTTACGTTGAAGTCTTTAGTGGATGAGATAGAGCTGTACATACTTTATTGTGCCTTTGAAGACTAATTCCAGTGTTACAGTAGGCTTCGGCCACACAATGAGCTGAGCTTGAATTGGTCTTTGCTATTCTTGCTGCCTCACATGCATTAGAGGTAATTCTCTGTAGCTATATTGAATTCAGTTGTCTAATGCAGAGTTCATTTAGACTGATTAGATAGCCGGAGATGCAAAACCTCTAGAAAATAAAAATCCAAAGTGCACATCATTGGATAACATTTTAGTGATGTCCAGATATATTTAAATTACATTTAGGGCTTAGAACCCATTGCACTAAAGAGGCAAATCATTATTTACTTTGTACTGTAAATCCGGCAACAGATATAACATCCAAGGCACTCAGGCTTAAGGTTGTGCTCATATCTTCTGATGTCTCCTACCTGAAAAAAAAAAAGGAAACCGAACACAGATTGACTTACTGCAATCAAACACGCAGTAACATTGTAAATCTGTCACAGCTTCAACAATTGCATATTTCATCTTTTGCTCTTTACATCTTTGATTCATTTTATGCTCCACTGAGCTGGAGTTTGGTACATTCCTCATCTGACTGGCAGTACATTTCTGTATCACATGGTTTATTGCTGTTCACATTTTTACTCAAAATATTCTTCTTCTGGCTCCTTATGCGACACTATTCTTTCTCAAATATATGATAGTATTTTGTATTTTATGGCCATTAAAAAAATGCTAAATGAAGGCAAAGAACAATCTCTGATACCGCTATCGTTACTGTGGTTTATGAGGAAATCTTTATCAAATGTGCTATTCTTGTACTCAACTGTGTTCTAACTATTTTAAATTTCTATTTTAAAATTGTTGATACCTTTGCTGTAAAGTTTGCTTTTCATACATCCAGGAACCAAAGGTTCTTTCACTTTCTGTTATTAGTGCTCTCGTTGTAATGTACAATAAATGGTGTACAATTTACTGTGGTTGTATAGACACAGTCCTTTGATCATGGAAAAAAATAAAACTTCAGTGAGTCAAAACATGTTCATGAATTTGATGCAGTCTTTGACCTTTGCTCTTCTTTCAAAACAAGGTAACAATGAACATACCATCTCTTATCACCAATAAAGTCCAGTCCCAGAAAATTGATATCACTCACCTTGTTCCTTGCTACGATATACTTGTGGTTCCTCACTGGGCCAGTTAATGTAACTTTACAACAAGGTGAACAACCTTACCTACTAGCTAATACTTTACAGTCCATTCTTTTAGTTTCTGCTTTGCATTTGTTGTATGATCAGAGAGTGAAATTTGGGGCTGCTGCTTGATCTTACCGCTACATCCACTCATCAATATCTCTATGAGATTCAGCTTCAGCCCCAGTCACCCTCTGTATGTCTATCCTTGATCATCTACAACTGCGTAGATGACACATAAAACACTGCTCATGTTGAAAAATAGCTGTCAAAAATGTCTCAGAAAAATAGATGTCAAGGTTTTGTAACCCTAAATATTTAAACTAAATGGTGACATAAACAATTGGATATGTCGTTCAAAATCATTTTAGAATGAAAATGTTCCTTACAAATGTCAGAAAAAAATAATAACAGTAGCCCTTTCATGTAGCTGACATTTTGACTTTGGCTTTGATTGTCGAGGTAAGCTAACAAATCAAGGTGAGACAACGAGCACAATGCCGGGGCTCTGGGAATGGAACACCTTATTAATGGATTGCAGCCATTGTTTTTGTTAGAAGTCACATCTGTGTAAGACGTTTCAAAATGTCCACAGTGAGAAAGGTCTATTGTCCAAATGGACGTGTTTGATGTTAACTTATTGTAAGTCGCTTTGGATAAAAGCGTCTGCTAAATGACTGTAATGTAATGTAATGTAACTGAGCACAGTGAGGCTGTTGAGAATGATGTCTGCTACAGTTACTGATGAGGGACAAATGTTGAACCATTTGTCCATTAACTTTCACATAAAGAAACACAGCAAACTGAAAACTAAAGCTCTGCCTTTTTTGCTCTATGGTGATTGTAACAATCATTCAACATCATCTTCTAATTATACAGAACGATTGAGGATCTGTGTTCTGTTATAATGTCATTACTTTTGTCGGACGAGACAAGTGAAATATTTTCAGTAATATTGAAACACTCTGTTGCCTTTACGAAGCACATCAACAACTCAATGTGAACAGCAGCTATGACTTAATGTTGGCAGGACACTTTAATTCAAAGTTGTGCTGCTAAATTCTAACACTCTGTATATTGACACATTTTACTGCTATTTACAACTGCTAACAGATTGCAAACCACAGCCTCCACCTGCCCATACTACCATTGTGTGCACCGTGGAGGGTTTTTATTACTATGATGATCTTCATGGGGGTTATTTGTGATGCTCCCTGGATGTTATTTATAAGGTGGCTTTTTATTCTAAGCTGCTACGCCGCATTACTGCAACAGGCAGCATCCCCAAGAGAAGAACCATATTGGACCAGCAGGTGGAGGCAGATGTTGCATGACAGAGTAGTCAAAGTAGTCATAAACTACTACATTGCTAATTTAGCAAAGCCTTAATTCTCTGTTGCTGATGTGAGCACCCATGGCTTCTGTAAAATACATTAACCCATTTTCTGATAAAAAAAAAAGCAACAATAAGGTAGCAAAACTAATCTGGGGTGTTGATCAATAAGGCAAGTGTTGTGTTGGTCTATAACACTACTTCATTTTGAAACTGTAAAGCCTTTCTTGATGAAAAAATAAGAGCAAATGAGCAGTCACCAACTTTATGATAATATTCAGCTCTTTTAAAGGTTCTGCTCATCCACGCAGGTGTTTTAAATTAATCTGACTGATTGAAGTTGGGCTGTGCCACGAAATCAACCAATAAGAATGATGAAGTAAAAGTTAACAGGTCCAACTAGAGAGAGGGAGGGAGATGACAATCAATCAAGCCCATTTTGTTGACACCAAAGACAGGTGACTTTGGGCAAATGCGTGAAAACACCTGTGTGGGTGGACCAGGGGGGTGCAGGGCCTGAAAGAACAGCCTGTAGATAAAAATAACAAATATTAGAAGCTCTGACCATATTGGTGTGAACAGAGACTATTATTTGTATAAAAGTATCACTTCAGAGCAGCATTGCACGTCTCTATTTAGCTCTTGCTCTATATTTTACACACATGAGGGATCAGTGATAAACAAAGTACAATTTGAGGAACATGGAGTTCACTGTAACTTGGTAAGTAAGTACAGCACAGTAATCGGAAAAGTCCTTTACGTCTCCCTCCTGTTCCGCATCCTCAGCCCACTCGCCCCAACGTCTTTGGGCACATCTGCATGGGTAGGACCGTCATCCTCCACAGGCTCCGACAGGAACAGATACTCTTCTTTATCCTCCTCTGCTTCCTCTTCCGGGTTGGGACAACCCTCGCAGCTGAACTGCAGGCTCTCTGCCTCCATCACTGGATCGTCTTCATCCGCTTCCTCCTCCTCTTCCACCTCTGTCTCCTCATCATCTTCCTCCACCTCATCTTCCTTCTCCTCCTCCTCCTCTTCCTCCTCTTCACAAGTACCCTCTTTCGGGTAGTGGAACACATCGTTGTGGTCACTAAAGCTAATTTGCTTCTTTCCTCCATTGAGACACTGTAGCGCTTTGCTCACCTCCAAACCAAGTCTCTCCTGCTTCCTGTCTGCAACAGGCTGGGATGAAGGAAGACTGAGCAACTGCATTTTCTCTGCTTTCTCTTCCTCCTCCTCTTCCTCCTCCTCATCCTCCTCCTCCATCTCTTCCTCTATCTCTTCCTCCTCCTCTATCTCTTCCTCCACTTCCTCTACTTCTTCTTCCTTATCCTGATCTTCCTCCACCCCTTCCTCTACCTCTTCCTCTACCTCTTCATCTACCTCTTCCACTATGGATAGTTTCCTTGCCGTAAGCTCTTCCTCCTCTTGCTCCATCCTCTCTGCCAGGGCCTCGGGGGTGGGCTGGTGGGGGGGTCCCTCCAGTGTAAAGATGTCAAATCCTCGTCTTTTACAGGGCTCATCATACTCTGGGTAAGTCTCCTCTGGGTAGCCTGCATTGACGTACGAAAGGATCATTTGATATACAGTATGAGATTTTGGTAACATAAAACGGCTTCTTATAATTGAAAATATGTTTGATTTCCCTGGAGACAAAAACGATTGAATCAGTAAAAAGATGTGAGAAGCTTTGAGATTCAGATTTAGACTTGTACCTTCCCAGTCGACACAGTAGGGGACCTCCTCAGCCTCCATCTCAGGGGAGTCCGCCTCCAACCGGCCCTCTTGGATCAGCAGTGTTATCTGTCGAAGTTGCTTGAGTAATTTCTCCTCCTTCTTTGATGTAGAAGTTTTACTCTTCCTCCTTCTGCCACTAGAGAACAGCGCAGATAATGAAGCGGAGTCATGCAAGAAGGCAAAGCTATGGTACATCAATCTATGCCGGTTCAGTAAATGGTTCTTTGTCTGTAATATTCCTCTGACAGTCAATTGCTGCATATAGCTGCAACGCATACTTTCTCTTGATTTCCTGATTCCTACTGAGTGCGATGAGGCACAGATGAAAGATGTTTTCAATTTTGATTAATAAGCATCACTTAGAGGTTCAGTTTTTATTTGCTTCCTGAAAAGAGTTATTAGCTTATCCAGAAGTTCCAACAATCTAGCAACGAGATCATTTCCTATTTTCTACATTGATTCAATTTCTAATGTATGCTATTATATGACCTAAGGATTTTTAAAAAGAGTAGTAGCTGTAGCTGTTAAGTACAATATGCCAGTGGCCTTTCCACCTTTGAATAATTCCCCCTTTAATCTTTAGCCCTTTCATTTCCATGCTGGGTCTGTACTGATTTATCCCAGTATGAGTGATTTTGTTCGGGTTCTTCTGTGCTATGGGCAGTGAAATGTTGGATGCTGAGAGAAAAATAAGTCTTACCTCGCAGAACCTTTACTCTTTCCAGAGACAATTCTCTCCATCATCCTTTCTGTTTGCAGAAGCCTTTCCTGAAGCCTGACAAGCTCGTGTTCGGGTGCTACAAGTTTTACAGGAGAAAAAATACAATGCATTTTTACATAAATGTGCAAATTATATTTAAGTCTGTCACATGCACAGATGCATGCTAATATTTATTGTATAGGCAAAAGTGCCATTCACACACCAAATTCCCTTTACAAATGTATTTTGCTACTGCACTTTTGGTTGTGATAATTCTTTGACTGAAGAGCTGTATGCCACTAATTAAAAAACACAAATGTTAACATATTGTCAATAAACAGTTAAAATGACATAGAAACTTTTGCAGCAATAATATCAATCAATCAATAAATCAGTGAAGGTACTTACTAATCTCACTCTCCATGTTTTCTTTGGTTACTGTAGTGTGGTTTTCTGATTCAGTAGTCTTCCCCTTACATGTCAGCTGTGGACACATACATATTTAGCATAATAGAGCATAACAATAATCATTAATATATATATTGTCACAGATATCACCATTGTATTTCTCATCAGGCTGTATTTATATGGCATACTAGTGCAGTGTATTATAGTGTGGTGTAAGGCTGCATGATTAACACTTTATATTCATATACGGTAGTGAATATTGTGTTTTGTACCTATACAACCTGCCTACCAAGCAGGTCAGTCATAGTAACTATACCTTATAGATTATATAGAGGATGTAAAGAAGTATCCCGAAGCCATATATGGGTATCGCTTGAGCCATCAGATTGTACTTTTTGCCTCGTCCGACGCCTTTCACTTTGGCCATGACTTCCGCACTGTGTGCCATGGAGTATGAAGGGTCCACACCCCACCGTTCTGGGTCCTTTGGCAATGACAGATGGTGCATCACAGGAGGGTAGAACCCAGGTCCAACTGGAGGAGACAATAATAGATCAATCTATCAATAATTAGAGCGAATGTTTCCTGCGAACGTCTCACAGCAATCTCTTAGTCAACCAAAGGAACACGTAGTTTCTCAGAGATTAACCTTACAAATAGTAAGAGTAGCTAGGCCTATATACATCCTTGACTGTTAAGGAATTACATTATTTTTGTTGCCAGCACTGCAAGTTCCCCAACATTATTTATTTTCCCATTTAGTCTAATTAAATATTTACTGCTATCAGGTCAGTGTTAGGGAACAATGTGTTTTGATAACACAATCAGTGTATTGAGAATTTAGTTGGACTAAGCAATTCCTCGGACAATTGTAAATTATAATATTATCATACATATAAATAATATCTTTGGTCATGAATTATTTATTTGTTTTGTGGTAATTGTTTAAACAGTGCTGGAGTACTTTGTATTGTTGGTCGTTGAACAGCACTATAGCTTTCGTTGATTGTTGGTAATTTATCTTTCTATTTATTCTATTTCAATTTTCTAAAATTGAGTCTGAAGCACTGCTTGATTTGTGTTTGGCAGCCAGCATGTTGAATATGCTTAATTAAGTTATTTCTAGCCTGTGTTTGTAAAAAATAAAATGTAAACTGTAATCTTCTCTCTTTAAAAAAAAGGAAATAAAATCTTCTCATAAGGAACAGGTGCCAGTATGTGTGAGTGTGAGTCAGTGTGAGGACATGAGGCGTAAAATTATCAAATAAAAATAATAACATAATAAATACATACAACCCTGCAATAATTTCTGTTTTACAGTACTGTGATTTATATGGGCTATTTAAAATGTAGTGTAGACATGAATAAGATATGAATAGATAGGCCTAAACATATTTGAACATGTGCAAGGTAGATGTATAAATACTGTGCTTTTTTAAAAAAAATTCCACAATACATTCCATACACATATGCTTCAATACATGTTTTTTCTGTTCTCTTCTTATCAATTCTGTAACATTATGACGAACATATGCACACTATGATGGGGCCTTGGGCCTCACATACTCTGTATAGTCTGTAAAGTAACAGCTGGCAACAACAACAACAGCAGCAGCAATAACAAAAAAAAACATTGGAGATGGAGCAGGATGGAGATGGACGGATGGATGAATGATGATCTGATAAACCCTTCTTACCCTCAGGCCGACCCATCTCCTTTTTCCCTCTGGGTAAAAGCATTCTGGGCAGGAAGAGAGAAAGACAGAGAACAGAGCATGATATAAGAGTAACCTTCTGGCAAGTTGTTACAGACATTTTGTCTCACAAAATGACAGCCATGCCACTTGAACAGTAAAGCTAGTATGCACAGATGTCACCTCTCATCTGGTGACGTTGCTGCCCAGATTAGACCAGATTAGACCAGCTGCCTTCAAGTGCTGTTCGAAATATTGAATACAAATCCCCAAAGAGGCAATCAACTGGCCTAGTGCATATTATTATTATTATTATTATTATTGTTGTTATTATTATTATGATTATTATAACTTTTATTATATCAAATTTCATGTTTGGATGAATGTTACAGTGAACATATAGTTGTTGTTTTCAAAGTTATGATTGTATACAAATTTGGAGCACATGTTAACATACAGACTTGGCTGAATCAGGGGGAATTTTACCGATTTGGAGGCGCCACGAGATTAAGAATCTTTCAAATTTTTTTTTCCATGATCCAGGTTGTATTGCTGCAACAAGCCGAAGCTGAAAATAATGAGCAGGAAGACATATCTGGTTTTAGGTAAGGCCTGTTATGGGTGGTTTAATAAGATTTGTTCGTTAGGCCGATCACTGCTTTGCTTGTGAGGCAATGCAGGATTCCAATGTGTGACTTCATGACAGCTCTCAGTAATTCAGATTTGATAAAAGCGGCAGACTGATGGCTTTGGTTGGAAAGTGCATCACTTTGTGATTTTTCCGAGAAAGAAAAAAAAAGAAAAAAAAGGATAAGTTTGTAAGTGTCTCTCTGGGTGAGGGTTGCTATTCTTTCTAGCTGACATTTAAAACAGTCATTTTATTCCTGCTGTGAAGTATTTTTTTTTCTTGCACCTGAGTATCTTTGCCTGGATGTGCGCACACTTGGTCCCTTTACTAGCTCTTATTCTCATTGGAATTATCGTAGTGTGCCAAGAAGAGGTATTAAAAAGTGAGGAGGAGGGATACAAGTTTTTTTTTTCAAAGAAAGAATTTTTATATATTTCCGCTTCCTAATTATATTTCTAAATGCTAAAACTAAGCTTGCTAAAAATGCCAAAAATAAGCCGTCATGACACTGTACTGAACCAACGTGATTTTGCTCCTGGCTGAGTTTATCCAAAACTATTGAGTAACAGCACCCGTGAAGCAAAGTTTAGTTTGAGATTACACTCCTGATGTGCAAGTCTTTTTATGCATCCCTTTGCTGTAAGACAAACCAGCTTTGTGCTGTTTGATTTCTTAAACAGACAACAACCAACAATAGTAAGTATTAATTAACAGTAAAGTAACATCATTTTTTTTTACTGTATTATTCCCAAACAATGGCCTTTAATACACAATTTATATTTATTAATTTGGGTTTTTACGATTAGCTCTTGAATGTAACACATGACCTTTTAAACAATAATTTCTGTCAACCCTCTGGTGTGTGATTCATACCAGAGAGCAGCAGATGGCAGTGCAGGCTCGGCTACAGAGGAATGGCATGTGGACAACAGATCACCTACCTCGGAGTCCCAACAGTCAATCCAAGTGTAATTTATGGTGTTTAATAGAAGTCTTAAAATTGTAGAATGTAATGACTGAGGAGGATGTACTTTTCGTGGTATTTCTCTCTCTTGAAAAGCATGTGCAGTTTTAGTACATTTTATTTCACTGGAGATGATACCGCTCACATGTTGCTACAATATTAGTACACACATTTAGTCGTCTTTAATAAGGCACTTCACCATCTCCATTTCCATACCTGTGTTGGCCTCAATATTAGGAACATTGAAATAATTATGTTTTATCATAAGTTAATTGTTTAGTTAAAATGTGTTTGTTTTACTTTATTGCCCACAATCTTGTGGGCAGTACCTTGAAAATCTTGAAAATGGAAAATTGTCTTGTCTGAATTAAAAACAAAAAACAGACAGTTAATTGAGGAAAAACATTAAAGTAATAATCCTGAAGATTTTAATTGAAATACATGTCTGTTAAATCACTATCTATCGCTGAATGAGCTAACACAATGGTGATTAAGCCTATGAATCACTAATGAAAGCCCATGCCTTTGCAGTTTTATGAATTTGGTGGTGACATTCCCAACACTGTTCGCGTCTCTGTGAAATGAGATTCCCACTTGCAATTACCGCTTATTGCCATCGGTGCCGCCAGAGAGAAGGAAACGGAGGTCTTTGAGATTGTAACTTTAAAAAGAGGAAATGAATGAACCATGAAGCATAGATGCAGTAATCAAAAGTATTAATAAATATGGAGGAAATTTAGTTGGTGAAAGGTGCATAAGGCTGTACGTTCAGTATTGTAATTACATATTGTGATATAATAGCCCTATTCTCTGCTGTGTAAGTTGTGTGGGATTGCCCTGCTTCCATCAGTCTTTTATGTTTGTATATTTGGAGAAGAGATAAAAGCAAACCTCACTTGAATAACTATAATTAATTGCAAAAGGTATATTTTTTTCATTTGTGACATTATTCCTGTTTATTATTGCCATTTTAAAGGTGCAGCAGGGACCTAATATTAGATCATACATAATATGTATGATCTAATATTAGGAAAGAGGCCATGACAGTAATGATAACTCCCATAATAATCTTTGACAGAATATTTTTTTAAGAACCTTACATTTTTTTTTAAACCACGATCACTGTGTTAAAGTCCAAGACATTCCCAAGTTAGTGCAAGGGTCAGCTATATCATTGAGTGTAGACATTACTTCGGTGTAATGTCTTGTAAAAGGAATATAATTCACCTGTATATAGTTAACTAAGCGTGCAATAACCAAATTCACCTAAGCATCTATATGTGTTTGCTTGAACCATCCCTGAGGTTAACCTACATATCCATATGTTTCATACCTCAACTTCAACATCCACAGATCACTGACTTTCTGGATCATAGTCAATTGTACGGATTGTCAGTGGTTTATGATACTATCTGTTTGTTTTCTTCATGGCATCACTTATCTCCCCATTCATAGCAGCAATAGTGTCTGTCTTTGGTCCTACAAAGTTCTGAAAAAATTGTGATATTTTAATGTGTTTTATTTTGTTGTTCAGTCAGTCTTGACAGTCTTATCGTTTGGGTGGAACACTGATTAATTTTAACGAGAATATTTTAATTAACTTGTGCCATGTCTACCCTTTATTTGTACAGCAACTAATGTCCAATATATAGATATAAAGATATAATGTCGATGTCAACATCCCTCAAACCAGGTCTGAGATGCAAATATATTGTCTGAATGTCCATAGACCAATCCTTTAATGATCCTTTAAATTCAGAGGTTCTAGGGCTCACCTTACTGAAACAATGTAACCACATTTACTTAAAATAATGAATTACATATTTTTTTTCTGATGCAAATTCTTTGATCAGAATTACTGTTGACCTCAGTACTATATTTGGCAAGGGGAATCATGTATTTCGTATTAAAGATTGGGTGGACTGTGCACCGTGAAAAGGTTTAGGGTTAAGAAGAACACTTTAATATTCTCCTGTAGGATGGTTTGTGGAGTTCCCCAGGGCTCATATGTAGGTCCGGTTCTGTTCTCTATTTATATGTTATATTTAGGCCATCTCTTGCATAGACCATCAGTGTTCTTGGTTATGCAGATGATATGCAGCTCCACTTATTATGCAAATCTCCAAACCCACAGGTATTTGACTGTCTTCATAAACATTCAGAAGTGGATGGCTCAATTCTTTCTACAGGAGATGTAAATAATACTGAATACTTGTCATTGTTTTAATGAAAAATTCATGCATCCACTGCAGAAAGTCTGTCTTTTTTTATACAGAAACCCTGCCTATACAGGCAAGTTTAAAACGTGATGCAGTCCTGTTCAAGAATATTTACCATATTCTGCCTAGTTTGCTGTAATACTGTGTATTTGAAAATTGGCAAAAAATCCATTGCCTCTTGCTTGTTCAGATGCATCAGCTAAACATTTTTCAAGTACAAAGCGAACAGTCAAATACTTGCATCCCTTCACAAGCAAGCTTAAGGATTGATTTTAAGCTCTTAGTGCATTAAAGGTTCCAAATAGCCAGCACACCTCTTCAAGAAGAGCTTTAGAAAGGTTTTGTTTCCCCATGTTAGACGTATTTGTGGCGGCATTTGCTGATGTCAAATAAGGATATGCTTTACAGTGTGGATCATACATCATCTGGTAATTAAATGCTTATTTAGAGGTGCTTTGTAAGCTGAGGCCTACTGTCTGTGGCTTAGAACCCCAATGGAATCTGCAACTTTGAACTTCTAGAATAGGCTGGCCTGGATAACCTGTCTGAATATGACTCCTCTTTTGTGCAGTCATATCTAACAATTATGACCGTCAGTTATATTGCTTTTCCAGTGGTTAGCACTGTTGAGAGAGGATCTGGCTTGTTCCGCAAGGTGAGAGGACGGATACCTGGGGCACCTCTGTCAGTTTGATCTTTAAGATGTTGTAGGTTGTGAGAGTCCCTGTTGGTTGGTCCTCTACTACCAAAAAATAAGTTTCACTTAAAAAGAATTTGCACTGGAATTCGTGGTTGAACTACTTTCCTACCAGTCTGATCCACACAACACACAACACAGACAATAGCTCATAGTGAAGTGAAAGGAAGAAAACACGGACAAGTGGACTGACAGTGAAGTCCAGAAGTTAACTCGTTAATGAGAACACACCCACTGAGCCAAAGAACGAGTGAGAGCTGCTGTTCATCCTTATAACGTAACTAATTGCTTACACTAACAGTGGTTATTATGAGGCATTCTAGGCTAATTTAGTAAAAATGAGTATAAGTAAGTTATAACGCTATCATGATGTGTTCAAATGTAATCTTGTAAGAATTATCTATTTGCGAGAAACTTGAATAAATACAGTTGTTCAAAGGAGGGGGTTTTCACAGCAATAAAAAAGAGATATTGATGAGGGAATCATGACGTATTTAACCTACCAACACAATCTCTAAGAAAATTATAATAAATAAGCAAAACTACCAATTGATTTTGAATGCGAATAACCGCTATAGAAGACAACAACAAAGCAAAAGGATAACATTTAGAA